TAGTGTTAAAGTTAGAGTTTAGAGTTAGTTTTATTAATAAAAGAGTATAAGTGGGTTTTATAAGCTTTAAAGATGAGTAAAAAAGGTCCCCAGTTTCATTTTAATCCGATTTCATTATGATCTGCCATATTTATTAAGAAATCTTTACTATATAGAAGTTAAATAAAAATTCAAAATCTTAAGAAGGAATCTTCAACAGTGATAAATTACTATTGGCTGAATCTTGTGTTACTGATAATTTTTGGTGGTGTTGTTGGGGTAGTTCCTAGATCGCCACCAAAATTTTACCTGCACGTGATTTAAAACCAATCACATTTCAAGATCAGGTGTAACGTAACACGAACAGAAAATTTCAAAACAACGTTTGTTTTATCAAAAATCGCTTATTTCTCGAAAAATTATATAGTAAACCATCTACTGTGTATTAACAAAAAGTTTTCCTTGAGCGATTTTACTACTAAAGCTTCTCTAACCCTAACCTTAGCATAGGCCCTAACCCTAACCTAAACGAACTTTAAGAATTTTTTCGGTGCGTTACACATGATCACGTGCCGGTGAAAATTTTGGAATTTTGGTGGCGATCTAGAGAAGATTAACCGGAAATTCTACGGACAGAGCTTAAGGACAGAGCAGAATCACATGATATTATTAAAATCCATAAACCCTAACCGCTAACTAACCAATCACATGATTCTGCTCTGTCCCTATCTGTCCCTAAGCTCTGTCCGTAGAATATTCGAAGATTAACACTGTGCGAACAATCACGTGCAGATATATACAGTACTAGCCAATCAGACAACCGACCTTTATTATACGTAGCACATGGAGTAAAATCTCGTCTGGTTCAAAACCAGTTTAAAAAAATCCCTAAACATTGAATTAGTAATCTTTCAAAATGTCTCTTCAGAATACTCGAATACTATTCGTAAAGAGGCCTTCTGGCCTATTTGACCCAAGTGAAACCTTTAAAATTGTAAAAGAACCAGTACCATCGCAAAATGATTTGTCTACTGGACAAATTTTAGTAAAGAATTATTATTTGTCTTTGGATCCAGGTATTCTGTTTTTGCTCACTGATGTGTCGAAAATTCTTCTTCTCTAATACTTTATAATTAGCGATGCGTGGAATTATGAATGACGCTAGAAGGTAAACTCTCTCGTATGATTATAAAATATTTCTTTAGTATGTCACTGATCCATTTTATGAACAGTTATACTCCTCCCCTTGGTAATTCTTAATTTATGCATTAAGCCAATTCTCGAATTTAAATTATATATTGACGATAAAACTTGCTTTTATGGTATATAGCTATAAATGAATTGATGCGTGGTAACACTGTTGGTGGTAATGTATTCATCCTAGCCAGGTGTTGCTACTGGAGATATACTTTATTACTTTTGAAATTATCGGATCGGAAATGTCGGAAGTCACATGACCGAGCACCTCTTTTATTAGTGTACTGTCTATTTTAAGCTACTAAATGAAATTATTATTAATTTCAACCATTTGAATTATTTGCAGAGGTTGTTATATCAAAAAATTCTAAGTTCAAAGTCGGTGATAAGGTTGAGGGGTTCTTAGGTAATATCGTGCATGTTTTTTTTATGGTTTGATGTATATTATTTTTGCGATAATTCAGTATCTATTTTTTTTTTTTCTGAGTAGGTTGGCAAAAATATGCTGTCAGTGACGGAAAGAATGTTACTAAAATTGAGTATGTTTGCCATGTGATTTGTTCTAATATGTATTAGTAGTTATATGTCATAATTGAATTTTGAATAGTCCACCACCTAAGGCTTCCCTTCGTGATTACCTCGGTTTGTTTGGTATAACCGGTTTGACCGCATATTTTGGACTATTATACGGTAAACCTTTCAATTTTTTCTACAATACTCCAAAATTATAAATTTCATACTGATAATATCCTATCTTATTTTATCTTGTATTCGTGTTTTCGATTAAATAGTTGGTAAGTATTTAAATAATTTTATAGTGTTCGTAGTCACATTTCACAATTATTTTCACTGTATACTGTAGGTAAAGTGAAAGCTGGTGAAACTGTTGTTGTTTCTGGTGTAAGTTCCTGAAAATTCTCATGAGATATCATTCACTATCTCCATCTATATAGTTATATAATTCTTTATATTTTAGGCTGCTGGTGCAACAGGAAGTGTGACTGGTATGCATGTGTTTATTTATGTAATTTAAGAACATGTTTATACGTTTGTCGATGTATATTATATTTACTTTTTTATATTTGTTAGGCCAAATTGCAAAACTAAAAGGGGCAAGAGTAATAGGCATAGCTGGTACTCCTGAAAAATGTGCTTGGCTAGTAAATGAATTAGGTTTCGACGTTGCCTTAAATTATCGCGATCCCGATTTCTCTAAACAGCTAACCAAAGCAACACCGAATTATATTGATGTATACTTTGATAATGTAGGCGGTGACATATTAAATCTTTGTTTAAAAAGGTTAGCAAAGTATGCCCGAATAGTATTGTGTGGAGCTATCAGTCAATATAACGAAAAGCAACCGAAAGGACCTTCTAATTATGTTGCTCTGATTTCTCAAAGCGGTAGGATGGAAGGATTTATTGTGTAAGTAATTCGGTATAACTCAGTCATCCTATAAGTCCAATAATTTGAAATTGGACTTAATCTGACTTATATGTTCCGATTGGAATCTGTAAGTCCAATGTTCCAGTTTATAATCCGATTAAACAAAGTTGGTCCAATTGCCAAACCAATAATATGAAATATATATAGGTACTAAAATTTTTTACTAATTTATTTGACAGCTATAATTACAACGATCGATTCCAGGAAGCAATATCTGATCTCTCAAAGTGGTTGCAACAAGGAAAACTTAAAAGAAGAGATTATGTAGTTGAGGGGTTGGAAAATGCACCCCAAGCATTATTAAGATTATTTAAGGGTGAAAATACTGGTAAAATGTTGATTAAAATTGCTGATGAAAATGAAAATGTCAAAAGTAAACTCTAAATAGTGTTGGATGTTCATTCATCTAGTTTAATTTCTATAACAATCAAGTAATAGTTATTGTTTATTATTACAATTCTATATATCAGCGAAAGTTTTCGGTCCAATTACTGTATTCAAAATTTCTTCTGTAAAGTTAAAAAAAATTTCGTCATTTTTCCTGGTAGCATCTAGCAGATCTTCAACATTGCCACCCCTTGCAGTAAAATTTATATGATGGATGATCTCTCGTAACTTATCGTCACGTAAAAATTCTTTTATTTTTTCCGACTTTGCTATTAATATAATAAACGAAGAATGAATTAAAGGTCATTACCATTGAGAATTACAAATTTTTCCTACCAAGCTTT